ATTCTAACATACAATAACATGTTTTCAAAATATTGAACAAAAACAATTTTTTTAAATCTTAATATAATTAATTTCAGATACTTATGTGGCATTCTATTTTAAAATTATACCCCTAGTAAACAATTGACGATATAAGACAATTTTTAAATAATTATTTCTCCTATTTAATTAAATTAAATTACTTTTGCAATGAGTAGTTTCGAAAGAGAAATTTCTAAACTTTATTATTGTAAAATAATTTTCTTAAAAAATATTTAATTACCCGTGTGGAAAAAGCCACGATCTTGCCCTCAATAGTTCGGGGCCCCCGGCGGGGGCCCATGAGGGCTGATCCATATGGCGAATCCATGAGGGGCAACGTAGGGGCCCCGCATGGATCGCCCTCATGATCGATTAGCAAAATTTTCTAAGTCCAAAATTCAAATATTTTTTCATCAACAAAAAATGAATGTTTCCAATGATTCAAAACAACGAAAAACGCGTTTTTAATAAAAATATATTTACACTTTTTTGAAAATAACACTCACACTTATGGCAAAATAGATGAGGGCCATCGTAGAGGCCCGCATGGATCGCCCTCATGATCGATTAGCAAAATTTTCTAAGTCCAAAATTCAAATATTTTTTCATCAACACAAAATGAATGTTTCCAATGATTCAGAACAACGAAAAACGCGTTTTTAATAAAAATATATTTACACTTTTTTTGAAAATTCACCTGAGATGATTCATGATAATAATCATAAAGCATATAATTAATTATATTTTATAAATTGCATTTGATTGGAAAATATAATTTAATATCTTAACTTTAACTAAATGATGTTAAGCACTTTTCTTTGTTAGGTATTTTTTAAGTTTAAATATCATCAAGAAGTTAGCATTCGTTTTGAAGTATCGTGCGTAGCGTAGTTGGTAAAACGTTAGACTCATAGTCCGTAGGTCGTAGGTTCGATTCCCCCCATGCGTCAGATTTATTTATTTCTCAGGTTTGCGTTTAATCATTAATTCTATGTATGAATTAATTGAAAAATGAAAATATCCGTTAATAGTATGCATAAATTACATATTTTTTAATTAATTAATTTATTATTACTTTTAATTATATCCGACAGTTAATTAATTAGAACGTTAATTAATAAATTCAATTTGAGTAAGAATTTAATTTAAAATTGAATAATTATTACACTGAGAGACCGTTTGCACCGCATCAGAACTACGTGTGTGACTGCAGCGCCACTATAGGTTTTGGTGCGCTGCATTCTAAATTTTGTATCGTGACTGCCCAAAAATGAAAATGAACCTTTCGGCCGTCAATTTTTTGGACAGCTACGCTCCAAAAATTGTACGGCTGCAGACCAAAAACGTAGTTTCATAGCTGACCGCTAGAATGCTCCGCAGCCGTCTGTCGAAAGTCTGTTACGGTGCAAAAGGTCTCTCAGTGTAAATAAATATGTTATTTATTCATAACTTAAGCTTATTTATTATTAATTAACTTTTATTATTAATATTATTGATTAAAAAACATTATGGCAAACTTGAGGGCAAGATGAGGGCAAACGTGAGGGCCCATAAGGGCGCCCTCATCGATGAGCATGTCGTTTCCATGAGGGGCCCCTATGGATCATCCATATGCGCCCCTCATGGCATGAGGGCGATCCATAAGGGCCCCCACTGGGGTCCCACATCACTTTTCCACACGGGTAGTATAAAAAATTTAGTTTGAAGGTTTTTCTAAATATCTCAAAACACGTTGCTTCTGATTTTGACAAAATCTATGTCGACAGAATGCTTAAAAATTCTATTTTTTATTTCTGTAAAGTTTATAATAGACATTTTAGAGAAATTAATTAAAATTCTCAGACGTTTCAGAGGTTGAAACGGGTTGAAATTTGTAAGATTTGAGTACCACCGTTTGAATACAAAGGTTTTTGTTTTTACGATCTTTAATATCAAAGAAATAAGGTAAGGTTAATGAAAAATAAAAAAAAGGTAAGAAAACAGTATTTATCACTGTTTTGTCACGGATTTACGAAACTTCAAGCAAATTGCTATTTCCTCGCCACGGAGGCAATTTTTCTCGTTTGATAATTGAGGCATTTCATATGAGAATACGGGGTCATGTCTCGGATTTTTCTCAAAATTCGGTAAATTGTAGTGATAGTGGTGCTAAATAAGTGTACAAATTTTGAATTTGAAATTTTCCTACTAAAAATAGAGAAAAAAATTGTAAATGTTTTTGACGCAGAAGACCTTAAACTTCTAGAAAAAAATTATTTTTTAAAAAAAATATTACTTTTTAAACAATTTGTTTATAACTTTTAAACATGTTCTTCCTCATTTAGAAGTGCGAAAAAAATCATGAATATTGTTTAAGTCATAATAAATCGATAGTTCAATTTTTGAGATTGTATTATTTTTTGTTTTCGAGATATTAATTAATTAACTAACAAAAGTTAATAAAAAATGAAATATTTTACGAACAAATAAAATTAGAGTAATTTTAAAAACACCATTAGAATGCTTATCAAAATCCGCATCCAACGAACCATATATGAACTATTTCTGATAAACGGGTGTGAAATTAATAATTAATAATAAAAATTATTTAAATAATTAATAACATTTGAAGAAATGAAGATAAATCGTCAATTATCTTTTTTTATTTGGAAGATCATCTAATTCTGTTAATGTAAATATCTCGAAAAATATTAAAAATTTCAAATTCAAAATTTGTACACTTATTTAGCATCATTATCAGTACAATTTACCAAATTTTGAGAAAAATCCGAGACATGACCCCGTATTCTCATATGAAATGACTCTATTATTTATTTCAATGCTAGAAGCCATTTAAAAAACAGAAAAATTGCTTCCAAGTCGGGGAAAGCAGTGATTTTGATTTTTTTGTCACGTATTTCCCGAAAATCTCGAAATTTCAAGTAAATTGATATTTCCTCGCCTCGGAAACAATTTCTCTGTTTTTTAAAAGGCTTCTAACATTGAAATAAATAATTAACAAACACGAAAAATTGCTTCCGAGGCGAGGAAATGGCAATTTACTTGAAATTTCGAGATTTTCGGGAAATTCGTGACCAAAAAATAAAAATCACTGCTTTCTCCGACTTGAAAGCAATTTTCCTGCTTTTTAAAAGGCTTCTAACATTGAAATAAATAATTATCAAACACGAAAAATTGCTTCCGAGGCGAGGAAATGGCAATTTACTTGAAATTTCGAGATTTTCGGGAAATTCGTGACCAAAAAATAAAAATCACTGCTTTCTCCGACTTGAAAGCAATTTTCCTGCTTTTTAAAAGGCTTCTAACATTGAAATAAATAATTATCAAACGAGAAAAATTGCCTCCGAGGCGAGGAAATAGCAATTTACTTGAAATTTCGAAAATCCGTGACAAAGCAATGATAAATACTGTTTTCTCACCTTTTTTTTATTTCAGCTTCTGGAGGGTTGAAAATAAAAAAATTTCATTGATGAGAATTAGAATCCTTAACTTTATTTTTTCGTTGAATCAACGTTGGTAACTTCAGTTTCATTAAATAAGTGATTCTCAATTCATATAAATTTCAACCGGTTTTTTCATGTGAAATGTCTGAGAATTTTAATTAATTTTTCAAAATCTTCTAAAATGTCCATTATAAACTTTACGAAAATAAAAAATAGAATAGGGTCAGTTGGGGTAAATGGGGACAGGGAGTAAATGGGGACAAGAGGTTTTGGAGCTTAATTTACAGTTTTAAAATTAAGTTCAACGTCAATATTTTAACCTCATATCACCTGCAAGAGGTTCTGAGTATTGCCAAGCTTCTATCTTAACAATTGGCAGCAAGATAAAAAAAGTTATCGCTCAATGCATAAAAACTTGAAAATCAAAGTCAAACAGTTTCAGTATTTTGTCTCGCATTTCAAAGAAAACAGACTTAAAAATCTTACCAAATTTTTTTTCTTATTCCTTATGACCCCTATAACAGAAATTCACTTGAATTTTTGATTTTTGTCAATTTGGTTAATAATGGCAAGCTGTCCCCATTTACCCCAAAAATTCGAAAACTCAGGGTAAATGGGGACAGCTTGCCATTATTAACCAAATTGACAAAAATCAAAAATTCAAGTGAATTTCTGTTATAGGGGTCATAAGGAATAAGAAAAAAAATTTGGTAAGATTTTTAAGTCTGTTTTCTTTGAAATGCGAGACAAATAACTGAAATAAAAAAAAAAATAAAAAAAATTTAATTGGTTCAACTATTATATATCTACCACAAAATTTTTTCAAGTTTTTTCATCCCTTAATACAGTAATATACTTTAGGAAACTTTTTTCTTAAAACTTTCTTAGAAACTATGCAATCCCCATTTACCCCAAATTTTATGAAATTTTCTAAATTTTGGGGTAAATGGGGACAGTAAGTTTCATGCATTTAAAGCTTATCTAAATTTTTTTCTGCTGCATAAAATTAATCCTGAGAACGTAAATAACAACTTAAAAAAATATAAACCCGCAAATATTACCTTTTGAAGGAAGAAACTTACGTGACTTGTGAAAAATAGAGATTTTGTCCCCCTTTACCCCAACTGCCCCTATTTAAGCTTTTCTTCGACATAGATTTTGTCAAAGTCGGAGACGTGTTTTGAGATATTTAGAAGTTTAACCTTCAAACTAAATTTTTTATAATAATTATGTAAATATTAAAAAAAAGAATTTTTTACAATAATAAAGTTTACAAATTTTTCTTTCGAAACTATTCATTGCAAAAGTAATTTGACTCAATTAAATAGAAGAAATAACTATTTAAAAAATGTCTCTTTTTGTCCATTGTTTACTGGGGGTATAATTTTAAAATAGAATGCCCCTTATATTTAAATTTATTTATGCTGTATTGTTAATCTGAAAATTTTATTCTAACATTAAAAATGGTAACTTATTAAATCTTTACTGCTTAACAAAAATTAGTTCCAAAATTTATAAATGCAAAAAAATTATTACCTCTGGCAATCGAAGAATAAATTGACTTTCTAGCTCTACAGGAGTATCAACTTTTGATTTAAGATCTGAAATATTAGTTTTTGACATTTCAGGCATTGTCAAAATTCGTGAATATTAATGAATCAACTACCTGAAATCTTAAATATTATTAGAATTATTATTTTGTTAATTAAATCAAAGTCTTTTTCTTATTTAGTTATTTGAAATTAAAGCAAAGTATAGAATTACATGTAAACAAAACTATAGAAACCATAGAGTTTCTTCCTAATATAGAAACTATAGAGTTTAAAAACAGGGTGAGCGAGTGAACATAAGATTTACCAAAGAAGACTATAAACAGGAGGGATAACTTGAAAGAGGTAGTTCAAGTGGAGTGGGAGAAAATTCAAGATGGACGAAAGACGTTCGACCACTGAACTTTATATATCTGGAATGCTGTCTGCCATCATAGAGCGGTCAAGGCCTGAGCAGAATAGAAACGTAACCGGAATCGTAATCGCAAACGCAACCGGAAGAATGAGTTAGAGAAGGATAGATAGATTGTTTGTCCTTCTCTAACTTATTCTTCCGGTTGCGTTTACGATTACGATTCCGGTTACGTTTCTATTCTGCGTTGGCCTTCACACCTCGGCTGCAGGAGCAGTTGCCCATGGCAACCGTGTAAGAGTAAGAGAGATAGAAGATTTTCCATCTCTCTTACTCTTACATACTTGCCATTAACAACTGCTCCTGCAGGCGATGTGTGACCGCTCCATGAGGCTGTGTCAGTTCATCGAGATATTTCGAGTTCAAGATATGACGTCAGAGGCCTGGAGGGAAAACAAACAGACGACACAATGTTATTCTTATGGGGAAGAAAATTTGTTTCCACTTTCATCAATTTTATTCATATTTTAAACATAGAAAACGCTTGTTGACATATAATAAAATTAAAATGTATGTTGATAATTAATTTTGTTATATATTGGATTCAATTGCATTGATAGATTCTCTGAATTCGTGATAAAATATAAATTTTGAGGTTATGGGTGTTTGTTTACTAATTACATTTTAACAACATTATTAAACAATATCCAGTATGCATGTTATTAAAAAAGATATAAAATATATATTTTAAGTGGGAATTACCGCAGCAGTAAAAGATTTCAAGTTTGTAAACAAACACCCCTAACCTCAAAATTTATATTTTATCACGAATTCAGAGAATCTATCAATGCAATTGAATCCAATATATAATCCCGAGTATACTTCTGTCGTGTACCATTGGAGTTAAAGAGACAAAAAGATATTTCCGTCTCTTTTACTCCAATGATACACGACGCAAGTATACTCGGGATGGGTGAGGTATACAAGCGCCTTAATTTTCTTCCCCATAAGAATAATGGAGCGGTCACACCTCACCTGCAGGAGCAGTTGCCAATGGCAACCGTGTAAGAGTAAGAGAGATGGAAAATCTTCTACCTCTCTTACTCTTACACGGTTGCCATGGGCAACTGCTCCTGCAGCCGAGGTTTGACCGCTCCATAACATTGTGTCGTCTGTTGTTCCTCCAGGCCTCTGACGTCACACCTAGAATCGACTCTGACGTCACAAGTCACTAAGCACTCACTCGCTTTACGAGGCACATATCGAGGCACGATTGAATCGACTCACTCCTGCGTGCATCGTGGCGTGCTCCGTATCCGTATCTCGCGGAAGCTTTGACGATGATTATTTGTTTTGATTGCAAACCCAGTATAATTATTTAATGTTATTACCGTGTTTTAATAAATGAAATGACATCAAATGTAACAAAGCAATTAAAAAAAAATTAATTTATAAGCATAACTAGATTTTTATAGGTATTGGTTAACATTATCGAAAGAATATTATTTATAGTGATTAAATAATAATAAATGCAAAAATGTTTACGTTTATCCATTTGTTTAAGTCTTAAAATTTAAATTCGTTTCTACATAAATTACAAGTTAAAAATCATAAAATAATTTCATTTCTTTATGTTTTAATGTTGTTAAATATACATATATTGTTGTAATTTAAAACTTGATAAATATTGTTATTTTTTATTTAACGTACTAAAAGTCAACTTTATCTTGAAACCTTTTTATCAGTAACATATTTCTCTATTTTTTAATATTTTCTTTGTAAATAATTTATATCAGCAGATATATGTATATAATATGACAGAATAAATATAAAATTTTCAGAAATAATTTTTTTATTTTGTTTTTAACAAAACGATCATACATTAACCTTAATAACTAATAAAACGAAAGCACATTTAAAATCCAATTGTTTAATAAAATCTATCAAGAATATGAATATTGTTTGATTAAGTATATCAGATAAATTTACATTTGGTGTCATTTCTTTTTTTAAAACACGGTAATAACAATAAAATAATTATACTGGGTTTGCAATCAAAACAAATAAGCATCGTCAAAGCTTCCTTAAGATACGGAGACGGAGCACACTACGAGGCACGCACGAGTGGGTCGATTCAATCGTGCCTCGATGGGTGTTTTCGGGAGTTGTTGACAGTATACTGACAGTAAAAAAATACCCAATCAGAATAAACATGCTAATGGATCAGCTAATCACAACATACGGACAGCATACTCACAGCAACTCCCGAAAACACCAAATATGTGCCTCGTAACGTACGGAAGCTTCTACGCGCCACCACAAAACCAAGTTTATGCTCGATTCATTTTAGTACGGAAGCGCCTACAAGTCACCAGCGAACTATCTTGTTCGCGTCACATTTTTAGCTGTGAAACCGAGGAACGCGTTCGATGGTTTCGCTGTTTCCTTGTTTTTGAGTGACGATAAAACACACTGTACGATTCGATAGTTCGATGGTTCTCTGGTTTTACTTAGTTCTATCGTTATCGAAGTCTAAATTTTGTATTAAAAAAATAAATTTAAATTTAAAAACCGAAATATAATAATATATTTAAATTATATATTTGAGATATATCAGATATCTTATAATGTGTGCCTAAAAAATTATTTTATTTAAAAATAATAGTACAAAATATTAATAGTATAGTACAAATATAAAATGCAAACAAATCAACTTACTTCAAAATAATATTTTGTACTATTATTTTTAAATAAAATAATTTTTTAGGCACACATTATAAGATATCTGATATATCTCAAATACATAATTTAAATATATTATTATATTTCGGTTTTTAAATTTAAATTTATTTTTTTAATACAAAATTTAGACTTCGATAACGATAGAACTAAGTAAAACCAGAGAACCATCGAACTATCGAATTGTACAGTGTGTTTTATCGTCACTCAAAAACAAGGAAACAGCGAAACCATCGAACGCGTTTAGTGTTTTAAAATTCTCGGTAAAATTGAAACCTGAGAAGGTAAGAAAGAAAATTGCGGTAAATTACCGAAAAAAAGAGAATTTATGAGAATATTCATTTAAGTGATTGATAATTGCCTTTTTTAAATCTAAATATGTATTTTTATAGTATGTAAGTTATAAATAAACGACCGACATGTTATTAAATGAATAATTTGAACAATGAATATAATAGACTGTAAGGGTGCAGTCCCATGGAGCAGATTAGGAGAATAGATTTCAGCCAATCAAAAGTTAGTCTCTCGCGGCAAATTTTGCATTTCCGTTAGAGACTGTTTTTTTATTGGTCAACGTCTAATCTGCTAATCTGCTCCATGGGACTGCACCCTCATTTTCTCTGTGTTCTTACTGACAAGATGACAGTCGGGTATATATGCCTGCACTTTTATCATTGTCTAACACGTGCGTCGTCATGACAACATGTGTGTTAGACAAGGATAAAAGTGCAGGCATATAAATGTACCTGATTCAATATAATAATGTAATATTATATCAATATTAATATATTAATATATATATTATATATTGTAACAAAGATATTTTTCATTATAATAATAATTGTACAGTCAGGAACATATGTCTGTACTTTTATCCTCGTCATACACGTTGTCATGACAACGCACGTGTCAGACAAGGATAAAAGTACAAGTAAAAATTCTCATAAATTCTCAGAGAAAAAACGATCCGGTAATTTACCGGTAAATTACCGTAATCTTCTTTCTCTTCTTGACGTAATTTACTGTCTTTAGAACACTAAACGCGTTCCTCGGTTTCACAGCTAAAAATGTACGGAAGCCTGTACGGCTCACGAGCGTCTCGGACGCAAGTGGCGGTGTTTCGTACCACAAGTGGCACGAAGTCCGTCCAACTTGTGGCAAGTTCGTTAGTTCGTGCCACTTGTTGGACAGGCTCCGTGCCACTTGTGGAAAGTGGATTTTTTGAAGGGTCATTCACAAATATGACAATTCCGTTGAATCCTGTTACTATCTATTTTGTCAGTGCTTTTCATTTCAATTTCATGTGAAGAAGAAGAAATGAATTTTATAAGATATTAGTAATATTAGCATATTAGTAAATGTCATCGAACAAACTTTTTATAGTTCACACATAAATACTCCTTCCAAACGTAAATATACATATTAATAAACTACGGATTCCACTAAGAATTAAGCGGAAGTTTTTTCTTAGTTTTTGTAATTTTTCTTAGTTTAGAATAAAAATAAGATTTTTTGGTTATGTTGTCATTTTTTAATTTAAAATACATGAAGAGGATTTTATTTTTTAAAATTAAAAGTACATTTTTATGAATATTTAAGAGTAATAAAGATGTCAATATCATTTGTTTACACTGAAATGTAATCTTTTACATATATTTTCAATTAAAAAATAACAAATTCATTTTTATTCAAAAACATTAAACGGACTTGCCCGGATGAAATTATACTTGAAATGAAAAGCACTGACGAAATAGACGGCAACAGAATCCAACGGAATTGTCATTTTTGTGAATGACCCTTCAAAAAATCCACTTTCCACAAGTGGCACGGAGTCTGTCCAACAAGTGGCACGAACTAACGAACTTGCCACAAGTTGGACGGATTCGTGCCACTTGTGGTACGAAACACCGCCACTTGCGTCCGAGACGCTCGTGAGCCGTACAGGCTTCCGTAAAAATGTGACGCGAACAAGATAGTTCGCTGGTGACTTGTAGGCGCTTCCGTAGTATTCCGTAGAGTTGTGACCATACCCTTAGGTTATAAACCAATTAGAATTAATGAATATAAATTACTTTTATAAATAGGTTGAGAACCTTTTCGTGCTACTGAGCGCTCATAGCGAGAATGTGGAAAACGCCTATATTTATATTACCGGAAATATAAAACCGTCTGATGCTGTTAAAAAACTATAAATTTACCAAATACATGTAGTTTTGTTGTTAAAAGCGGAAATTTTTAAGGAATCTCTTATAAGTTATCTGGATTGCAGAATTGATAATGTAATTATTTCTATTGTAACGTCTTGAAAGTTTAATTATCTACTTAATTTAAAAAACAATAGCTATTTGTGTCATATAGATAACTTAAACAATATATTACTGTTAAGCCATTAAACACAAATATGTTAAATATTATAATCAATATGAAACATTTGGAAGGTGGTTTGTTAATTTTACAATTTAAAAATAAATAATCTCAAAAACATTTTGCCCATCCATATCTTACTAAAATAAAATTAGGAATCATCAAATAATGTCAGACACTGAAACGTTTTGTAACTACTTTTGACGTTTATTGATAGTGTTAACTATTTCTAACTAAAATGGTTATGTTCCTGACGTTTTCTGGAAAGTGATTATTTCATATACATTATACATTTTTTGTGAAAGGATCTCAATTCTATTATGTTAGTTGTTAATTTATAAACAAAATTTTTTCTTTTTTTTATAATATCCACATGAAAACGAGATATTTAGAAGGTTCAATTATTCCAGGATCTCGGACATTTAAAAAATTCTCTGAAAAGTTGAAAATTAAAAGAAAAAGAATTATTAATTAATTGAATTAAAGATCGCTTTTTATATATAATCTTTTTTGTATAAAAACCATAAATTAATCAATAAAAATAGTATAAAATAAAAGAATTAATAAATGGAGACAATTTTAAAAGTATATAATCTAAGCAAATGATAAATTTTGTTACAATTATTACATTATAATAATAATACATTTAAACTGAATAATAAAATATTAAATAACAGTGCCATTTCATGAGTTTTTTTTATTACTTTTCGGAGTAGCCTCATTAAATTAAATGAAAATTTTTTTATAATACTTATTAATATAAAGGTTTAAAATAATCACTTTTTAAGTAAAAACGTTTATTTAAAAGATACAATAAATTTAAAAAATTTACTCTTTCTGTCCCACTAAATAAATTGGTTTAAAAGATCCAAATTTTCCTTCCTTTTCAAGCTTTAATACCGCACAAGAAAAATAAAGTGTATTTCAAAATAGTTAACTCACAATTTTTGAAACCTCTGCTAAAAATAAAATCACAGAACGTCAAAAAATTAGTCAGGATCACTGACGTTATAAGACTATTTTTGTTACGATTGTAGTCACAGAACACCACAATAAGTGAGGTTTAGTCAGAGAATCGTCAATAGTAGTCAGATTTTTTATTTTTTGTCCATACCATAAATCATTAAACGCTGTGACTATTTGTGCTGTTAACCCTGCCAGAAGAGTGGTACTGCATTGGTACTGGGAAATTGGAACTATTGTTCAAGGAGGGATGGCAAAAAAATTTCTAAATTTAACAGAAATTTTCTACAAATCATTTGTTCTATCGCTGTTTTACACGCATATCGTGAGAGACGTTTTGTTGATCTAACATACACTGTAAAAAATATTTCTTGTAACATTACCACTTTCTACGTAGGTCCAAAATCTTACCTAGAGGCATAAGTACATAAAACAGTATAACAGCATCTAGAATGGGGAATTTTACTTTTAGAATTTGTAAATTTACATCTTGTAGTGTAAAAGTACACCACATGGTAATTTTAAAGATTATACACTCAAAAAAATTCATGGTAAATTTGACTAAATTTTAACTATTTCTCCTAGTTCCAGGAGGCGTTTATATTAACAAAAAGTAGTTGAGACAACTATGTAAAAACGGTTAAATCAACTAAAATTTAGTAAAAATATACTATTAAAAGTAGTAAATTATTATTATTAATATTAGTATTGAGATCCATTTTTTTACCCTCTCCCCTACTACTTTCGTTTATATATGCCTTATATTATTTAATTTTTATATACCTAACAGAGAAATATCCCTAAACACTGGGGATTGAACGCACGACCCTAACATTCGCAAGCACAGTGGGCTTAGCCTAACTTTAACCTAAATGTACTGGCCTATCTTGGTTCTCTTCAGATATAAATGCCACATTATTTTTCTGAGTAATTTGAACCTAAGATGAAAAAAATCGGTAGAGGGATTTTCGAATATAGTCGATTTTTGTGTATTTTTAACTTTTTATAGTCTTTTTACTTTGAAACAGTTCAATACTAATCAATTCGATTTCTAATCATGCATAAATTTTTTCTGAAGTTGGCGACTATTCAATTTAGAAGTGTCAAAATTAAAATTCAATGTTTGTTAATAATCTTGTATAATTCCCCACGAAGCGTACAATTCCATTTCCCTTGTGTTTTTTAAGAAATAAATTGTATAAATGCCCTGAATACGAAGCAGACTGAAAATCGCTTATATATTGTTTAAAAAATAGGAAAAGAACTAGGCGCAATTGCGCCTACATCTAGGGTTTCGTGGCGCTTTAAATTTTAATGTCAACTACTGGGACATGTCAACTATTGGAACATGTCAACTATTGGACATGTCAATTACTGAGACAGGTCAACTACTGGGACATGTCAATTATAGGGGCATGTTAACTAATGGGACATGTAATGTCCATTCATGTAATGTCCATTCGGGAAAATGTCCATTCAGTAAATGGAGATTTGGGATCTGTGGGGCCCCAAAATATGAATTTGGGAGCTATGGTGCCCCAAAATTTGAATTTGGGATCTGTGGTGCCCCAAAAGTTTAATTTGGGATCTGTGGTGCCCCAAAATTTTAATTTGGGATCTGTGCCCTAAAATTTGATTTTGGGAGCTGTGGTGCCCCAAAATATACTACGGACAGACGGACGCCAAAGTGAAACTATAAGGCTTTCGGCCATGGGCCACGAAACCCTAAAAATCAGTATTAATTGTGCGTCATGTAAAAGCTCTATTCATTAAAACTTGTGTTATTTAGTGGGATTTATATTATATGTTAATTTTTGTTAAATTTTAGAAAAATATTTTGAATAAAAGCAATAACTAAATTATACGCTATCCTGAGAATTACCCATAAATTAATTACTGCTCGCTCAAAAATATCAAAAGCTAGAAGTCATGAAGAAAATCCGTACTGTGTTTGCCCTTTTTGTTTTTAAAAAACGTCAATAATAATTCTAATTAAAGGTACATCAAATTATTTAGTACTGAAAAATTATTTCTTGCACCTTTAATTGAAATCATTATAGACGTCTTTCCGAAACAAAAAAGGCAAATACAGTAACGATTTTCTTCATGACTTCTCGCATTTGACATTTTTGAGCGAGCAGTAATAAAACTAAACAATGTTATTAACAAACATTGAGTATTATTTCTGACACTTTTAAAAATACTTGACAACTTTATAAAGAATTGATTTATGATTAGAAATCGAATTGATTAATATTCAACTGTTTTAAAGTAAAAAAAGTATTATAAAAAGTTAAAAATACACAAAAATCGACTTTATTCTTAAATCCCTCCACCGATTTTTTCATCCTAGGTTTAAATTACTCAGAAAATAATGTGAAATTAATATCTGAAGAGAGTCGAGATGGGCTAGTACTTTTGGGTTAAAGTTAGTCCAAGCCCACCGTGGAAGCCGACAACTTAACCATCTAACCACGCACGCTAAGATGGCTGGCATGATATTTGAGGACATTCTTTCAACTACACAAATTTTAAAAATAACTATTTTTAATACTTATTTTAATTACATAAAACATTAAGTCTAATGGTTTTACTGCATCTAGGAAGAAATGGTTTCTTCAACTACATAAATCATAAAATAACTATTTTCAACACTTATTTTAACTACATTAAAACAGTAAATCAAATTTTTTTCTGCAACTAATAAGAAATGTTTCTTTCATCTACACAAATCCTAAAAATAACAATTTCTAACAGCAGTTTTAACTATTAAAATGTTGTAAAGCTATTTAAAATCACATGACAGTTAGTTATTTTAACTACAAATATTAGTAATTTTAACTAGGTGAAATTCACTACTAAAATTTAGAACCACCAACTGTCTGAGTTTAGTTGAAATGGTTCTGAATATGGTACTTTTAACTGCTTTCTTTAACTACACATTTTCAGTCATTTTTACCAATGCTATTTTTTTGTGTGCAATCGTATTAAAAATATTTTAATTGAAATTTATTTTTATATTAGGTATAAAATTATTACTTTTCTTCATTGCAATGAAAAATATGTGATAGAAATAATCAAATTTATATAAACATTTATTTCAAAAAAATTATTATTATTTGAGTTACAAAATATAATATTAATATATTAATATGTGTATGACGAGATATGAATAAAAAAGAATACATTGAGCAAAAAATTTTAGGTTACATTCCCTGCAAACATGAATACGTAATGATTATATATTTGTTATATAACAAGATGTAACACGTTCTGTCACAAGCTTGTAGCATGTTACAAGCAGGTTACGATAAATATCAGCTCTGATCACTGTAACAGATATGTAACAAATACATAACACTGTTACTAGTGATTTATAACAGATATGTACCGATTACATAAATCAATTACAAATTTTTTAAATCCAGTAACAACATCTCATATAACACATATATAACAAATATAGAACTTTGTTACAAAAGAATACAGTTAAAATTAATATAATAAATTAAGAGAGTGTCGTATTTTGTCTTAATTGGATGTTGATAATGTTAATAAAATAAAAAAAATTAGTAATCCTAACACATTTTCGATATTTTTTAACCGGTTGACTCCTGAGATTCGAGCTCTCGACCATCACTAGTGTACCTACACTGCAGAGCTCAACCGTATCATTTCTAAAATATTAATAATTTTTAACAACATAAATAATTTTTATTTGTTAATTCTTAAATATGTTAATTATAATAAATGTAAAAATTGTTAAATCTTTTAATTATTGTATTTTAGAATTTATTACCTTTTACTTTTTAATTTGAAAGGAAGTAAATCTTTGCTTTAGGCAAGTTAACAGTACATATAAATTTGAATTTCCTCCAAAAATTGATACAGGAGGTCAATTACGTAACTTTTTCCGGATCCCACATTCCGTAACCGACATTCCGGATCCCAC